TTTCAGTAGAATTTTTCTTTGTTTAATAAAGGAGAAGCGTTAATCTCTTCAGGGTCGATTTTTTAAAGCCACAAAGAAACGATACAATTTTTTACCTAGTTATATTTTATTCATTTGAAATCGATAGCAGTTAAACTGTTTCTCTTGTTAGAAAATAATGTAACGAATAGTTGGCCATAATTAATCAGTGTCCCTGAAAACTACAGGTATATATTCTGTTTTCTTCCATTCTCAAAACAACGTAACTCCAAAAACAAGCTAGCACTTATAAAAAATAGATTTTCCAAAGACGCCTGAGAGAGTAATCCAATTTTACCTGTTCTAACGTAATCAAGCATTACCTATGGAAACTAACAATGATATCAAATATCGCACACACATATGTATCAGTATCTATTTTCTTCCATTCTCAAAAGAACGTAACCAACAATTATAAAAACCAAATTTTCCAAAGGCACGTCAAAAACCAATCCAGCTTCACTTGTCCCAACGTACTCGAGCATCGCCTATCGAACAGATGTCCAAATGCAAAAAACTCGATATCTCTCATGTTGCAAAAAAAAATGCAAACTTTATATCTTTGCTTCTTCGAACGCACCGAAGCGTTGCCTCGAGAAAATCGACGTTCCGATCCATGGACGAAACAAGCGAACATAGTTCCTCCTAGAATCGGTTCGTGACTCGAAAAGACACCCCGCTGCGGCCCTTTTACGGGCAACCGAGCGATTTTCCGGCAATTAGTCGACGCCTTTCGCGAATCGAACGTAATAACCGGCCCGCGGATCGCGCCCCTGCTCTCCGCCGTTCGGTACCGCTTTTTACTCATCGAACACGTAGTAGCCTAAGCCGAGCAGGCGCCGTGACGCAGCCGGCGGAGGCGCGCGCCCACGAAGACGCGACGCGACGCGGCGTCCCGACGTCATTTCTCGCCTCGTAGTCCTCGTATTCCTCGTTCAGCTGGCTCAGTGTGTTGCGGCGAGTCGCGAAGGCTTGTCGCGTTTTATAAATCGTGTCGTCGTCGTTCCTTTCTTCCATTCGCGCGACGTATTCCGCGCGTTACCTCTCAACACTCTCTTGTCTATCCAAGAAAAAGAAACATTATCAATCTTCTGTGTTCGAACCTTATCTCGTGATTATTTTATCAAATTCTCGTGATTCATTCTCGTATCGCGTGAAGATAGTAGTCACAGAGTATATCTGCACCGATGACACCAGCAGCGAGGATTCGCTCGTGGATCGAACAGAGAAAATCTGGTTTCTAATACAGTGTCCTCTGGAAAATTTCGGCTTGATCGAGGGAGAGTACGTTTTCGAGAGCAAGATTCGTCGAATCTACGTATTCCTGTCGACAAAGTGTGTATATTGTCAGAATGGTCATGATTGACATGGTGGATGTGATCGAGGACGAGGACCGGTGCGTATCGACAATTATTCTTATCTCTTCCTTCGTTTATCTATTGTTTCCTTCACTGTCGTCGCCTTCGCCGTGAAATCCTGTGTTTCCGCGTTACGTAAAATGTTCCGCGCGTCAGATGCGTTGATTTTCGTCGCTGGAGATCGGTCATGTGCAGTCTGGTCTGCCTTGAAATTACTTGGCTCTCGGGAGACAGAATTGCAGGTCGTAAAGAGGGAGACGTAGGGTAAAAAGTTGGAGGTTTGATTCCACTTTATCTGTACACCGTTGTCGGAGTGTTTAATCGTTTTCCGATACGCGGGAACATTATTTTTGGTCCAACGCCCAGTTTTGTTTTGCGCCCTTCGCGTTCTGCTGTTTGGTAACACTCCAAGAACTCTGACTTTTACGTATTTCACAGAGCTGGATTGTAATTATGTTCTTCCAGTTTCTTCGTCACGACTGTTCTTTTTTCTCTCTCAGCTGTTCGATACACACACACGCTTTTGCTTTCGATTTCGCGATTACGAAAGTCTCGCGAGTGTTTACGCGGTTTCAGCGTTTCGCGAACGTAATCTGCGATCGTGAGAGGAAAATCGTGTATTCGAACGTTGACGGAATGAGAACGAAGAAGCGTGTGGATGATTGGTTTTTTCTTTTTTTCTGAGAGCAACGTGCACGCGGTGATTGTTCACGCTGACCTGGTAACCGTGAAAAATTACGTATCGAACCACGTCTTCGTGTGTGTGTGTTTCGCAAGACATTTTTGTGAAATTTCGATTTTATCGCGTTACGTAAATGGCATGCGGCAAAATCGCTCGGTTCTTTCATTGTACGGACACGTTTCGCGATATGTGAATTAGAATTTGATATATGGGAAGCGATTTTTCTGGAATTGTTGTCGTTCAGGTATCTTGCATTATCGACACGTTTCTGGGTATAGCAGTCACTGATAAATAAATTAACATTTATTAGGTGGGAAACTTAGTGGTAACTTCCTAATAGAAATTTTGTGTTCTTTAACTCGATTATCGTGATTTGAACCATTGAAAATTCGCGGAATTTGTGTAGAATTCGCGAGAATGTTCGAGTCACTCTTTCTCGATAATTCGCGAGTCTCTGGTTTCCTATTAGCAATTTTACGCTTTTGAAACTAATCGTCGTGATTTTAAACGGTGAAAATTCACAGACACACGTGGAATTCGCGAAAATGTTCGAGTTAAAAACACTGAAAATTCACAGACATAAAATTCGCAAAGATTTTTGAGTTAACGACACTGAAAATTCACACACGTGGAATTCGCGAATATCTTCGAGTTAAAAACATTGAAAATTCTCGAAAATCTTCCGTTCGAAAAGATTGAAAATTCGCGAGAAATCTCGAGTCTCTTTCGTTTTCCCCAATAGACAAGGCAATACTTCCCTACTATCCCTTTTCCTCTCAAAAATGACACTCTCAAACCTAATCATCGTAATTCGAAACACTGAAAAATTCCCAGAGTCCGCATAGAATTCGAATAAAAACACTCGAGTCACAATAATTTACCAGTCTCCGTGAGAAGACGTCGTTGAAAAGACAATAGCGTCAGACTTGCTCGAGTCATCGTCGCGAGAACGAACAATTCCCCATGCAATCGAGTTTCATCGAAAAATTAACGTTGCGGTCGCGTGCGGTTGAAACGAATGCGTGAGTATGCGGTCGTTATTGCGGCCTTGTACGAGCTTCGTGGCGGGAAAAAATAAAAGAGTTAAAAATTGCAACAGAAAGTCGATAGCCGCGCGACGAAACACCAGATTCGTTGGACAAGGAGTAGAAAATCTGTTACTTCCCGGACGAATCGTCCTCACTTGACTCGTTTAACGACTTTAGGAGAAAACGTTTCACCACGCGCACGTGAACCGTGCTCGTTGATTTTAACCGAATGGAATATTCATGGACGCGTCGCGTAGCGTCGCGACGACTGCCCCGTCGCGTGTCGTTCGTAGATCTGAACGAAATTTTCGTTCATTTTTCGAGTTTCCTATCTAGCTTCCTAGTTTCCTTTGTCGTCGTTTCAGATTCGTGTCGTCAAGTTAATATTTCAAGCTTTTTGCGAACGTTTCTATCGCGAGATTCGTATTATCTGATATTCGCATTGCGAAATTATTCTGAGCTGTATTTCGCGAACTTGATTTTTTTGCTCTAGCCTTTCAGGTTGACAGAATTTTTTTGAGATTCATGTTGGAAAGTTTGTTTCATTACTTGATTTTTTAAGAAAAATACTTGATTACGAGCATTCTTTGCATGCTATGAGTTTCATATTTTGAGATTCGTTTTGTGAAAAATATACCACTGGTCACACACTATGAAACTCATTTTTTTTTTTTTTCGATTTGTACGATCAAATTTGTACACGAACATCATTTTATCAGGCTTCCATTGCAAAATTCATATAAAAAATTTCAAATTTTAGATTCTTATCAGGAAGTTCATAATTTTAGCTTTTTCTGCAAAGTTTCTGTCGTAAACTTCACTTTTCCACATTCACGCGCTTAGCCCTCTTAACATTCGTATTACGAGCTACAACTTCAGACTTGAAAAATTATCAACATTCCTATTAAAGCTTCCCACTGGCGAACTTCACACTCGATACTAAAAATTTCCAAATTCCCATCGCGCCATTCTTCCGCCAAAGCTCGTCCCGCAAAGTTCACATCGCGAGGTCGGTTGTGTCGCGTGTTTGCGCAAAACCGCACGCTTTCCTCGCCGCGGCAATTAACGCTACGTGCTCGCATCGATATTCCAGACACGAGTTATCCAGCTTTGTTTTTCTTCTCCCCCCTCTCCGGAGCAATCGGTAACGAAGGAAATTAGCGATGGAAATGCGCGAGGCGTGTAATTTTCCCATTTTACCGTTGAACATTCGCGGCACGAATTCATTTGCACACGCTGAAAATTTGCATCGTCGACAGAATTCGAACGTCACGCTTGACGTTTCACTCTGCCGATACAATGTGAAATTTTCGGACATTAACGTTTCACAACCGACCGAATTCTACGTTACGATTCGACGAATAACATCGGCGAGATGTAATTTCGTTCGAGAGGATTCCCGCGACGATGGGGTTTCTAGCTGACAGAATACACGCACACGCTGTGTTTGCCGTAGAATTGTAGCGAATGATACATTGAATAAACATTGGAACGTCAGACGTGTTGAAAAATGTAAGACAATTATTGATTCGCGTAACGACGCGAAACAAATAGTCCTCGCGAATAGAGTTTTCCTTCGATGTAACAAATCGTACATTTCAACATTGTTCAAACAAAGTGTGCGACGTCTACTTTGTTTTTCTAATGCAGCTTCTACAATGCAACTTTAGAGTATAAAAAGGTAGGAAGTAATGTTTCGGAACAATGATAAAGCGTTAAACGATCGACAATTTCAAACACACCTGACGCTGCGCTCATTGAATAACAAATTGCCCCTCGAACGCGTTTCAATCGAAGAAAAGACACGGTGCATTGAAAGCAAGCAGACCAGAACGATATAGCCGGTGGTATTCGAATACGACGACTAAATCCAGCTAAGAACGATGATGGAAGTAGCTTATTCCCGTGTTTCAGGTACGAGAGGCTCCTCAGAAGAGCGAAGACAGAGGATCTGTCTGAAGTTTCAGGGATAGGCTGCCTTTACCAGAGTGGAGTGGATCGTCAGGGTCGACCGGTCGTCGTGTTCGTCGGCAAATGGTTCCCGGCAACTAAAATCAATCTGGACAAGGTGAGATTAGAAGTTGTCGAGGCTCGGAGACGAGATTTCGCGACAACATTCTCTCTTGTTTTTCATATACGAAACACTGCACGATCCTTGTGTTTCCTCTCTGTTTGCAGTCAAATACAGATTCGTAATTGTTAGATTAAAGGGGATATTATAGGTTTATTAGAGTCATATAATCGTCTTCCGTGTTTGTGAGTCTACATATCGAGATCATAAAGATATAACGTAGAGCGAGTTGTATTCAATGTTTGCCTGATAAAACTGCGCTGAAACTTCGCTTTGATGCTCGAAACGGAATGTTCGCGGCGAAAGATAAAACGTTTGTTGGATTAAATTATTATAAAAAAAGAAATGTTACAGGAAATTGCACGATATTTCGTAAATTTACAACTGCTTGAATGAATGAATTGATAATTTAAAAGAAATTGATTCTTATGGTTTGCTGTATTTACACGAATATCGGTAATTTTTAATTTTCGAAATTTCCGCAATTTGCATTTATATTTGACGACGATTCTAGAGAAACACAGACAGTCTCTACGTTTCCCACAGAATCTCTAAGATAATCGCGAGCAGTGGTATAACCGTTGGAACGACTTGTCGTGTCTAGGCTGCTAAATAAATCCAGCGAATTTCCCCGCGAGAGCAATCAACCCTGGTTCACGTGTGGCGGTCTCACGTCCCTTGAAATTTTCACTGTCGATCAAGGGCGTTCTTAGGCCACCCTACGAACATCACCGTGAACACGTGAACGAGCATGGATCGTTTGGTGACGCGCAAACGTAGAATGATCGTGTTAAAGAGAGGGAGAGCCAGGGAGAGACCAGTAGTTGCGAGAGGAAAGCGTGGCGAGAACGCGAAATCAATACGCTCGGCGGGTTAGCTCCTCGCCTCTTTTATTATGGACTAGCGTGTTTAACAGTTCTTTACAAGCTGATCGATCCGTTTAGCATAGCTCGACGTCAGGGGGAAATTGGCTCCGGTGGTTTTCCGCCACGAAATCGAGTGTCTCAGATGAACCAACCTGTTCGATTCAATTTATCGATGTTTATTAAGAGAAAAAGTGTCGTGGAATAATGTACCAGTGACGTTTTCCTAGATATTCAAACGCTGAATATTAGGGGGAACGTTCGTAACGAATGATTAACCCTTTCGTGCGTGATTTTTGCTTGGACGAGGAACGAAAGAAAATTTGACACTCTGTAATATGTGCGAAAGAAAATTTTACAGTACGTAAAATTTTCGTTTCGCGAAGTGTGCGCGATATTATAGATGAAAGGGTTAAATTACGTATTTGTTTGTTCAGGTATATACGTTGAACTTTTTGCTTCAATAATAGAGGGATTTGTATTTAGGGAATCGTGCAAGGAATGTCGATGGAATGAATTAATGCGTTATTTATCGCGAGGCAATAGCCGGGACCGGAAACGATTTAGAATTATTCATCGGATCGATCGAATGTTTATTCAGAACGTCGCTTATTCGACGGTCCGACTGAATCCTCCGCGACGCGGCTCCAAAGCGGTCGTCGCTTGATCGCTTTGACCATAGATTGTCACGTTGAACGGACAGCCCTTTAAATGAATCATCTTGCATCACTGACGCTTGCTGCCCCCCGATATCGGGCTCTGGGCAACGTTCAAAGTTGAATGTGATCCGCGAAAGTTCAGGTTCCGTTCGAATGCTTTATCAATACTTGATAAGATGTTTGTGGAGATGAATTATTTTCTCGTTTCTTTTTTTTTTAATTTAATGAAAAAGAAGATATTGACGAAGTGTTCTCATTTTTATGCACCAAGAATTTGTATAGTAAACGTTGCGGAATTGAAATATTGGACAATTGGATATTCGACAATTCAAATTTTTGACAATTTCAATTCAATATTTGACAATTGAAAGTTTTTTTTTAATAATTCCATATTTTTCTGTATAAATCTAGTGCAGACTTTTAATACGGTAGAGCTCCGCGGATACTTTTCAATGTTTGACAAGTACCACGAGTTACTGTCGTAAGAAATTCCCTGAAAGTCATATGTGACGCTGACTTTTTCAAAGGTTACCCGGTGTCTATCATATGTATAAGGGAAAGAAGACGAAGTAGCGTTGGTTGAGAGTCTATTCTTCAACGTCTGTTCAAAAGCAGCCCAGTGCTACTCAAAATCTTCTTCCTCCGCTGTTCTGACATTTTCAGCTTCTTGGGTTCGTCAAAAATAAAATGTCTCATTGGGCAAACTAGATTCCATAAAAATTTACCACAACCCACTACTGTCCTTTCGTCTTATCAAACAATAAATCGAACGTCCTTCGATTCCATCTACCTAACTTTCTCAAGTCAATTTCTACTACCTCCTACACACACACACACACACACACGCGCGTATCTCAACTTCTGAGTATACCAAAATTAAAGAATAAAGTAGAATTGACAGGAGGAAAAATTCGAAATATCATTTTCTCCATTAACCTGACCATTGGAAAGAACACGTGATAGAAAAATACCACAAGCAACCGTTGTCTCTCGTCAAACATTAACCAAACGTCTTTCGTCTCTCTGTCAACCTAACTTTCCAAATTCAATTTCTAATACTTGCCTGCAGAGAAGCGTGCACGTCACTCGACGTTCACCACGATCTCATTACTCCTGCGTGTATCAATATCATCTTTGCTCCATCCTCTCCTCCGTCTCCCGTTTCTCTCACACAGTGGCGACGAGCGCAGCACCGCTGGCGAATCGATATTTACACGTCCAGAAATAGACCGACCACGGAACAACTCCCAAGCCGAGGGCGCACGAGCTCCAACGTTTTGTCGCGACCACCGTCGATCCGCCCTGGAAAAAAAGTTTCTTTTCCTCCCTACACACACGTGACCCTTTTTTCACGTCGCGTCCTTTTCAAGAAAGCCATCAGCGTCGCCGCCGGAAATAGCCTGCGACCGATCGAAACGGAAACGCCTGCACGACCTCGCCCCGAACTCCCACCCTCTCTCTTTTCCGCGGTCTCTCCTTCTTTTTCTTTCCTTCTGTGCGTCTCTCCCTCTTTTTCTCTTCATTTGGCGGCTCTCCCTCTTTCTCTCTTCGTTTCCGTGGCTCTCCCTCTTTCTCTCTCTATATGTGTGTCTCTCCCTCTTTCTCTCTCTATATGTGTGTCTCTTCCTCTTTCTCTCTCTATATGTGTGTCTCTCCCTGTCTCTCCCTGGCTCTCCCTGTCTCTCCCTGGCTCTCCCTGTCTCTCCCTGTCTCTCCCTGTCTCTCCCTCTTTTCTGCGAGTTTCTCCTTCTTTCCCCTTTTCTCTCACTCTCTTTGTCTTCTCTCTCTTTCCTCAGTTTCTGTCTGCCTACCTCTTCCTATCTCTATCTCTTTCTTTCTTCAGGTTTCTCACCCTCTTCCTTTTCCTCCGTCTCTCTCCTTCACTGACGCACTGACCAACCCTTTCTTTCAGCGCGTCGATGACGTTGATCGTGATCGATGAAGCGTAGATATTACCGTTTAACGAGTTCGACCTTTTTTTTTACGCAGGATGTTTGTTCCCCTGAGTAGGGTTGTTTTTTGTTCATTTTGCTATAAGAACTTCCCTTTACTTTTCTTACGGATGATTGATGTTCCAGTAGATTTTAGAAATTTCAAGATGCAGGAAGTAGTGATTTGTAGGCGAGGGAAATTGCCGTTCGTAGGATTGCAGAGGATTCGAGTTAATCTTCTTCGAATCGTTTGTTAAGATCGGACAAAAGGTTAAGAGGATTGTCCTGTATTAATCATTCCGTGAAGCATTATTCGTTAACCTGGAACCTTTCACGCGAAAGGTGAAAATTCCTGGTTACCTGTTCTTGATTCATTATATTCTAAGGTCATCCTCCACACACTGAATTCTCTATGTGTACGTACTAACGACCGAAACTTTGAAATTACCCAGCACCACCACTGCAGCTTCTGTTAATTATCCTTAACGATCTAAAATTCTGAATGGTTCTAAAATTTTCACGTAGCACTACACGTCTCCAGAATGTTACGTTCTTTTTCAAATTCTATCCTACCCTATCAGAAATTCCAACAAATTCTTCAAAAGAATGATCTTCTCGTTAAAATTGCCAAGTTCTCGGACCAAAGCTTCACTCTAAATACCAAACAGTACAATCTCACATCCAGAATGCGAGCTAAAATCGGGTGCTCGTAGGAGCAAATAGTCCATTAGATAATTTCATTAGAATACTAATGTAATGTCAAGTTCATTTACATTCGGATCGATGATCGGGCAGTTCGGCTACGATTGCACATACGGTCAGTATCTTAACCCCGTTCCGCGAACTTATTCTCGTAGAACTTCAATCGTATCAAGGACGAGTTGTTCTTACAAAGGTGGAACCTATCACCTCTCGAAACTGCTTTCTTTTTAATTCGAACGTACGACAAATTCAAAAGTAAAAATCGTATCGTTTCGAATAAAAATGACCAAACAAGTCGAATCCTTGGATCGAACGAAGGACTTCCGCGCTGAAACGAAGAACAGCGCGAGTAAAGTGTCCGGGTAAATTCTTACGTGCGAGAAGTGACTCGGTGACGAAGATCGTGCGATGAAACACGAGGGAACGCGGTGGAATCGTGTCGGTTTGCAAGGAAATTACGCGAGGATTGAGGACGCCATTACGGTGTGCCCCCGCGGCGACAGATAAGGCAATAAAAAAAATATAGGGTGTGCTACTGAAAGGACGAGGCGAAAGAAGTCGCGGCCAGCAGCGATTCCTCCTGGTTGAATGTAGGTCGCTGTCCGAGATTCAAGGACGCACTCGATCATTCTCCCCCTGAACTCGCGAGAGCAATTCCAGGTCACACATTTTATCGGCTGATGCACGGTGAAAAGCTGCGAGGAAAGGACGTGTGCTCTCTCGCCAACCCTGCGACATTACGATCAACCGGTCCCTCTCCCTCCTCGATATCCCATGGTCTTGACGTTTAAAGTATCGACAACCCTTCTGCTGCCGTGAAAGGGTTCATTTTCTGGCTGATC